CAAATAGTCCAACTACCAAGCACAGTAGTCTGTCTGCAAGACGGGGCCTTCCGTCGGAACTATGTACTCCACACCATCATAGCCCCAGGGTGCAAATACTTTGCATGGGCTCTGGGTGTTTGAAGAATGCTACTCATTAGCACAGATTGGGGACCAAAGCGCGACAGTCAATCAGCTGGCGCCACAGGCGCAATTTCGACCGCGAGCCTTCGAGAAATGCAGCGCCTTGCAGCAGCTCAATTTCGAGAGAACAGAGTACGATCCTACCAATTTGAATCGTGACTTACCCGAGGGTTGCTTTTTCGAGGCTGGAATTGAGTCGTTATTCTTATCAGCTGATTTCAACTGGATGGGACCAGCGGCATGTGAGCATTGTAAGAGGTTGCGATCAGTAGACATCTCGCAAACCAAAATCAGTGAGATCCTCGGAGGCACCTTTGCCCATTGCTCGCAGCTGCAACAGCTTCGGCTGGCCAAAGCAGTGAGGCGCATCGGGCGAGACGCCCTCCTGAATTGCACCTCCTTGGGTGAACTGCGTACCCCACCCACCTTGCTCTATATCGACAAACGAGCATTTGCTGGTTGCATACAGCTGCGTATGCTCATTAGAGTAGGAAGCAAAGCTACTTGGAGAGGGACGTACGCAGAGCACGATGCTTTCGAGTCGTGCAATCAGCTCGCACTCCAAAATGGATCCGGCTCCTCCCAAAGCCCGCTGGCAATCATGAGGAGTGGGCTGACTTCATGAGAAGCTGTACAGAAGCGAACTGCAGAGACACCTGACAACTCTGACGTGGCCATACACAGGTTCCGAGAAAGCCACGCACCTGCCGAACTGACACTGCTGACACTGCTACCAATCCTGAGTAGCTAGACAGTACCCAGGGCTGCCTCCCAAGGGGTGGTCTTGGAAGGATACATAGAGTACAGATGTACAGTTCCTACGATCCTCTATAGCGGCGTTTCACTGTTTCACGTAGTTCATGGGGCATGCATGTCTTCATCGCTCCAAGGGCACTCGAATCGCAATCTGAAGATGCTGAGCCTGACGAGGTGTGCCAACAGAGTCCTGCCTGCACACATGTCCTGAGTGCGACGCATTGTCGCGACGCATTGTCACGCTACTTCGTGCCTGTGGCTCCCGTTTGCCTTTTGGAGCCACGGTCATAGGGCGTACGACTGTCATCGCCTTCCCCCTGTGTGGGGGGGGGCCAAGGATGAGGGACCGTTCGTTCGAGTTCTTTATCCCATGCACTCTGCAGCTCATGGCCTTCGTAAGTTTGGCGCTTGGTTGCCCAATGTACCCTCTTCTCAACGGCAAGCTCTCAGTGCATTGAGGACCTTTCTCAAACGAATAGTGCTCTCCACAACGATTCCTTGGGATTTTGACCACAGTACAGTGACTCGGAGACAGAATGGATCACCCCCTGTCTCTGCTTGTCAAGCTGCTTGCATACGAAAGTTGGGAGCAGCAATGCAGATACAAGCTGATGCCGGAGTGTGCCAGTTTGAAGAAGCCAACTTGGAACGAACAGTAACTGCCGTACGCAATAGCGTGTTCTTTGAACTAAGTCACGCTTGGCCTTGCCGCCTAGCTATGGCCTGCAATGTTCCAAAACTCCAGCGCAAGCTTGGGCACTCCTCATGCATATTTGCAAGCATCCACTTGTCATACAAGCACTCACTGCCCATAAAAGGAATCTTGCTACTTCTTGACCTTCCAGTACTGAGCGCTAGCAAAAGAACGAATTCATGGCCCCGTCTCACCTTTGTTTCACTATTGTTGCTTCGGCTTTGCTTGCCACGGTATGATACGAGCCTGGCTCCTTGTTTCCTTGTTTTGGGTTTGTGTCGGTTTTTTGGTTGTTTGGTTGGGTTTGTTCGGTGGTGCCTTGCTCTGATGCCTGGCTCGTATCTCCTCAGTGTCCCTATTTATATAATTCAATTAAGGTGACTTGTGCCTCTCGGCACACATAGCGCCTCCACCCGTGCAAAAAAAGTGTAAGCGTTGCTTTTGATGCTCTCCAAGTGCAATAGCTTGCGCAGCGTTCTGATCTCAGGACGCTTTGCTGCATTGAAGGAAGAACCTGCAATGAAGAGAGACAAAAAACGAGGAATGAAGGAAAGCAAAATCTCGCGGTCCAGCAGAACTGAGAGCCGGTGTTTAATTCGTAGCCCCTGTTTCACCTCATACTCTTTTGGTCTACATGACCGCTCGAGCTACATGCCAAGTTGCTGGTGTTGGTGTGGGGTGGGTTTGTTTGTTTGTTTGTTTGGTTTTGGGTTTTGTCGTTGTTTCCTTTGTCCTTGCAACCTGGCTAGTAACTCATCTTCACTAGCGCAAGATGACCTGTGCAACCTCTGCGCGCATGGCGTCTCCACCCGTGCAAAAAAAAAGTCAGACCTCTTCAGAAGAAGATTGGACGAACAGAGATACAGTCAAACCGACTGTAACGTTTGGCTCAAGAGCGGGGTTCAAAAAAAGGGGGACGCTACTGCTTCCGTGTTTTCGCACGGTAGCGGAGCGCCGAGGATCCTAAGGGTGAGGGGGAGACGCTTTGTGAGAAAGGAGAACTGTGTGTAGGGTTTTCTCTGAGCCGTTTTTGTGAGCCATGGAGATTACGACTCCTACGAGTCCAGCTGTGACGCTTGCACCACCGGCTGAAGCCTCAAGTCCGCCTGGAGTGAGCCCTGGACCTCAGATGTTTCCAATCAGTCCAAGTCCAGAAGGTCAAGATCATACACGTGTGGTACCTAGTTCGTCTTTGGTTTCTTCTGTGGCGAATGCACCTGTTTTGAGTGTTGGACTGTCAGTCTTCACAGACTTTTGACCCTTTGCAAGCGAGAGATGCTTGGCAGAGTTGGCATTTTGGTCCTGGAAGCCAGCGAGATGTAACGCAGCAGTTCGTTCTTTGAATCCAATGAGTCAGCCTTATAGAGATTTTTCAGGCCATTCTGGAGATGGGGTGACTGCAGGTCAATCAGGAGACGGTGGTAGGTCTTGAGGGAGAAGAGAGGGAGAAGAGAGGGAGAAGAGAGGGAGAAGCGAGGGAGACGAGGGGGAGAAGAGAGGGAGAAGAGGGGGAGAAGAGGGGGAGAAGAGGGGGAGAAGAGGGGG